GCTCCATCCCTGACAGTGTTCAAGGCCAGGTTGGACAGAGCCTTGGGTGACATGGTTTAGTGTGAGGTGTCCCTGCCCATGGCAGGGGGCTTGGAACTAGATGATCTTAAGGTCCTTTCCAACCCTAACGATTCTATGATTCTATGATTCCAGCTGACTGGTTTCTTTGCATTATTGATTTGAAGGATCGTTTTTTTACAATTCCTTTGCATCCTGCAGGCTGTGATCATTTTGCTTTTTCTATGCCTTTTGTCAACAAAATCACAAATTTGAATGATTTACAGAAGCTCTTAGGTACTATTAACTGGATGCGTCCTATGTTGGGTATTACTAATGCCGACCATGAACTACTCTTTGATTTATTAAGAGGGGACTCAGACTTGAATTCTCCTCGTCATCTTGCCCCTAAAGTTATTGACGCTTTGAATATAGTGACTCAAAAATTTGAGATGCTGCAGGCAGATAGAGTGCATTTACACTTCCCAATTTCTCTGCTCGTTGTTAATATGCAACAAAGGCCATTAGGAGTCATATGCCAAATCGACAGTAACTCTGTTTACTTTTTGGAATGTTTTTTTTACCACATACTCAGAGAAAGACGGTGACAGAACCGTTAGATATGACTGTTGACTTAATCGTCAAAGGCCGTATGAGGGTTCAGCATTTAACAGGCAATGACCCTGCAGAATTGTATTTACCATTAACTGCAACAGACTTTCAGTTCCTTTTTGCTCAGTCTGTTTCTTTCCAAATAGCATTAGCAGACTTTACAGGAAAATTTTTTTATGGTACTCCAAAACATAAATTGCTAAAAGCTTTTTCAGATTTTGATCTACAGGAGCGATTTGTAATTCAAACACAACTCATTCAAGATGCTAAAACCATTTTTGATGATGGCTCTGGAAAAACTGGCAAAGCTGCTGTAGTTTGGTTTGAAAATGATTCCTGGCAGTCCTCTGTTATACATGTGGATGGCTCTACGCAGCTTGTTGAAATTGCTGCGGTCTTACATGGGCTACAATTGTTCCCCGCAGAATCCTTAAATATTGTTTGTGACTCAGAATATGTTGTTCGATTGTTACCATGCCTTCCTTTTGGTGCGTTAAAAGAAATCGATAACCGTGAACTTTTTGACATTTTGCTGAAGCTAAAACATTGTTTGGAAACTAGGAATTATTCTGGCTTTATTGGACGTATTAGATCGCATTCCAACCTGCCTGGCCCTTTAACTGTGTGTAATGACATAGCAGACTCCTTGACTGTTAGCACTGTGCAGTTTACTTCTGCAACTGCTTCACATTCATTTTTTCATCAGAATGCCTCTGCTTTAAAGAAACAGTTTAACCTATCTTCTTCTCAAGCATAGCAAATTGTCAGGTCTTGCCCTGACTGTCAATCAACAGCTCAATCCTCATTTACCATGGGTGTAAATCCTCGTGGCTTAAAGGTGAATGAGATTTGGCAAACAGATGTTACACACATTGCTTCCTTTGGTGCCTTTAAACATGTGCACGTGTCTGTTGACACATTTTCACGTATGATTTCGGCCTCTGCCCATAAAGAAGAGAAGGCCCGTGATGTTATCTGACATTTAACACGTGCATTTGCTACCTTAGGAGTTCCTTCCCATTTGAAAATGGATAACAGCCATGCATATAATTCATTAGCATTATCACGACCTTTACAGCAATGGGGTGTCACACATGTCACTGATACTCCCCGCTCCCCTACAGGCCAGGGGACTGTGGAACGAACTCACGATGTTCTGAAATCCATGCTACAAACACAAAAAAGGGGGAATATGGTCCCTCAAGAAATGCCATCTATACATTGAATTTTTTAAATTTCACTTAATCTTCCATGAATACTCCTGTCACTGCAGTACAATGACATTTTGGTGCTGATAGTCCACCTTCAGAACATGCTAAAGTGTGGTATCGTGATCCTTTGGGCCCGCAGAAATGGGAACTGATAACCTGGGGGAGGGGGTAAGCTTGTGTCCTCCTACCTACAGGTCCGTGGTGGCTGCCTGCAACGTTTGTCAAGCCGTACCATGAGCTGAACAGACAAGTTAAAGAACCCAATACCTCAGATGCAGGAGCTGACCTTGAAGACCCCGAGCAGAATGAGACGGGAAGAGAAAAAGGCATGATTTGTAAAACATCACTTGGGGGCAACTGAGAAGTCTCTATAACCAGACCGTGTTTAATGACTCAAATACGCGTGCTTGCAACATAGCTATTATTAGAGGCTGTGATTTTGTGTATAAACCCCCTGTATTTACTAGCCAGTTGCTAATAAGAACCTACACTGTGTATCGTAGTATAACTTCAACCCCTTTCGGTATGGATTTGTCACTTGTAAAAGAGATGTTAGAGCATGCAATTTGCAGCAGCTGCTAGAAAATGCTGAAGCAGAAGCTAGAAAATTCCTAATAACTGTACATCACAATGGAAGTGTTATAAAATAGGTAATGAAATTTATTAAGAGAGTGGGAGAACACCACTGGTAGGAAATTTCTTTGGCTGGTCCTTCACTGCCATGAGCATCTTCAAAGCGCTGCTGCACCCTGTAGTAGTTATACTGCTAATGGAAATCTGTGCGTGCTTTGCCATGATAGCGACTTGTTACTGGATGAGGCAGGTGAAACTCTGCATTGACAACAGGGTGCAAGGACTGAGGTTGGCCAAATGCCTCCTACCATAGTCAAGGACAAGACTGGGTTGGCCTCTGTGTTTACTACCAAGAAGAACCTTTAGCTCCGCTGTTGGCTGCAACCCAGCAGGCGCTGAGCGGTGGGGACACATGCCATGCCAGACCTTGATGTGAGGGATGGCCTCCTCTGTTATAAGAGGGCCATCCAGGAGGGAAGGGCAGGCCAAGCAGCCTGCGGTCGGCACGAGAGAGGATTTAGTCCAAGTCCCCTGCTCAAGCAGGGTCACCTAAAGCAGGTTTCATCACCCTCAAAGTAAAAAAGCAAAAGTTAACATAAGTAACTGTTATGAGTAATAATAATATAATAAGCAACTATTGTATTTGAACTTTCCATCTTTAAATGCTAATGTCAAGAAACTGCTCTTGTGTGATTTAAGACTCCTCAAGCAGAGAAGGGGATAAGGAAAGCCAAGGGCTGTGTTTTTGGAAGTAACAGCATCTATCTCCCGGTTCCCAAGATTCCCACACATTGGTGAGATCTTGTCTTTGGAGCCTGGACATCACCGCTTTGCTTTGCTTTTCCTCCATGTCATCTAGAGACTTGCTGCCAAATTGCAAAGAACCGAAGCCAAAGTATCATGCAAAACAGAAAAGGGGGAGATGTGGGAACTGCAAGAGGTCCTGTTCCCACTAGGTGGGTAATTAAAGAAGAAGAATTGCTGATAGTGCACCTGAGTGAGCCAGGGAGTGTTTGGGTCCAAGGTTGCGCTGGGAAGCAGCCTGGGAAGTGAATTTTTATAGAATGGAATTTATAGTGACTGAAAACAGTCACTGGGAATGATGTAGTTGCTGTTTGGCTTCATGGCTCGGACCCATATCTGTATGCTATATATTACCATGCTTGAGTGAATAAAGTGAAACTAGTTGTGAAAGCAGTGTATGTGTGTGTGCGTTTAGCCTCTTTCTTTATAGACGCCTGAAATGGTGCCCTTTGTGTATGGTAACTAAACTGCTTGACATTGTGGTGTCTGCGCAATCTGACGGGGAATTTCTTGAACCATAATAGGCGTTAAATAAATAAGAGGAAGGGGCATATAAAATCAAGTAAGGGAAGATGCAACCGGAGGCGTGATAGTTAGGATGTAGATTATATGTGTTGGATAGCCTGTAAACCATGGAGTACCCAACCAATGAGGAAACAAGCGTGGGAACCTGCAGACGGGATCGGATATGTAAATCAAATTTCTGCTTTTTCTGGGTGTGTCTACTTTCTAGGACACCTGTTTTTGCAAAAAATTTAACAAATTGCTGCTTCACTGCTGTGTCTACCCTGAGCTTTTACAAGAATAGCTTTTATCTAGAGACCATTTCTCACACAGGGCTCCCTTGTTGCAGCAATAGGCCAGGTTGCTGCTGGCCTGAGCACAAGAATGCAGCCACGTCATGGCATTCCCATGTTGATGGTCTTCCCAGGGACAAGGCAGCACTCTGGATCTCCCACCACCTCACATCATTAGGTCCTGGTTCCTCATGCAGGCCCTCAGCCAGGTGGTTTGGTGGGTGGATGGACACTCATCACCCTAGGAAGGGACGGGAAATTCAGGCTCTAGGAGTGGCCGATAGCTCACCTCCCTTAGAAATCAGAATCATCAAATCAGCCAGGTTGGAAAAGAACTTTAAGATCATCAAGTCCAACCTTTACCCCAGCACTGCCAAGTCCACCACTAAACCATGTCACTAAATGCCACATCTCCATGTCTTTTAAATGACTCCAGGGATGGTCACTCCACCACTTTCCTGGGCAGCCTGTTCCAATACCTGATCACCCTCTTGGTGAAGAAATTTTTCCTAATATCCAATCTAACCTCCTTTCAGGTGGTTGTAGAGAGCAGTAAGGTCCCCTCAAGCCTTCTCCAGACCAACCACCCCCAGTTGCCTCAAGCACTCCTCATCAGACTTGTGCTCTAGACCCTTCAGCTTTGTTGCCCTTCCCTGGACCTGCTCCACCACCTCAATATCTCTCTTATAGTGAGGAGCCCAAAACTGAACACAAGATTCGAAATGCAGCCTCACTGTTGCCCAGTACAGGGCGACAATCGCTGCCCTAGTCCTGCTGGCTACACTACGGTACAAGCCAGGATGGCATTAGCCATAAATCAGGCGAGCGAGTTTTGCTAAGTGGAGTTTTAGACAGAGCCCAGGAAACGGACAGCGGAGCGGGAAATAAAGCGCAGAGCCGAGGGTGTGGGTGTGTTTGTTCCTTAGTCCCGCCTCTCCCGGGACGTGCTATGGCTTGGGCCTCTCGGTAGGTCACGCCTCCTTTCCCGTTACGCGGCGGTAGCGGCATGTCCGTATGGACCCGCGCTTGCAAAGCGGAGCTGCTGCTGGAGTTGCTACTAAGGGAACGTTCGGTGTGGGTAGTGGCGGAGCTGAGCAGAGAAGCGTTGAGCCTAAAGGCGGAACCGAGAAGCAGCGAAGCGGCGAAGCGGCGGTGGTTAACTGCAACGCGGAAGAGGGGTCCGGTTGCATGCGGAGGGTGCGGGTGGTGAAGGTGGAGGCGGGAGGGTTCGGTATCAGCATCAAGGGAGGTTGGGAGAATCGTATGCCGGTGCTCATCTCACGTATCTTCCCGCGGTTGGCGGCGGAACGGAGCGGGACGCTCCGTCTCAGCGACTCCATCCTCGCCGTTAATGGAGTCGATCTCCGGGATGCTACCCACGATCAAGCTGTCCAGGTGCTGAAGCGAGCCGGGAAGGAAGTCATCCTCGAAGGACCCACCCCTTCCACGTCTCGGGTACTGGTCCCTGCCGCAGAAAATATATGGACTCGGTCAGAGATCAATATGATCAGACAAAAGCCGTTTATTACAAAGCCTTAACCCCTTAAATACTGTTTCTTACATGCACTTACAGTGATTTGGCATATTATGATTGGATACATGTCTTGAAGACCCTTGGTGACTAACATATAATTGGTTAAGCACAGGTGTGAGAACTTGACCTCGAAAGCTTGCCAACAGTCCACAGTTCTCATTAACTCGGTGGAATCCAGCTTCTTCTTATCTTGCTTGTTTAGGCTTCCTCAGGCCTCTCATGGCCTTGCTGTATCTTTCAGGATTATTCAGAATTTATGTACCAATTATCCAGTCTCCTGTGAGAACACTGCTTCCACAGGTTCCCTCCTCTCCCGGGTGCCCCTTCGCAGCAGATCGGGCAAGGGGTGCCAGCAGCAACAGGGTTTCCTTTATGGTGAAGTGTAGGCGGGCAGCACCGGCTGTGCTGGGATGGCTGTGCTTCAGCCACCACCTCACCAGGAGCAGAAGGGGTGGTTGCAGATGCCACTGTCTCAGCAAACCTGGCCTTGGGGGATCTGGTGACCATGCCCTGGTGGATGTTTGCACTGGCACCATGGAGTCTTGGCATTATGGACTGGAGCCCTGCCATGGGTGGTTGGCTGGAGGGTGCTGGGGACCAATCTGGTTATGAAGGCAGCTGCCCACATCTGGCAAACAGCTGGCAGGACCTGCCACCCCTGCCACTGCCCCACAGCACGTCCCTGCCCTGCCCAGCTAGGCAGCAGGATTAGGGGGAAGGTAGGAGCCACTTTCCTGCTGCATGAAGACAATGGGGAGTTCCACCCCCTAGAACATGGGCTGTGTTGGTGCCATTGTGGAGTCCTGCAGTCCTCCAGGGCTGGCCAAGACCCTGTGCATGCCAGGGGGGACTAGACACCCCCATGCTCAGAGCATACCTGGGGTGCAGGGCCCCTGCCCAGCCCTAACCTGTTTCCCCTCTTTCCCCTCTCCAGTGAAGTTCATGTGGGAGGTGACCCCCTACATCAAGAAGTTCTCACTGGTGTCGGAATTGCTGAGTAGCTCAAGAGAGGATGCCTTCAACACCTGTGATAAAGACATAAATGTATTGGCTTTTGCAAATCATAGGTGTGGTTATGTGGATATAACTGTATGAGTTTACAATAACAGAAACAAAACACGCTAAAGACACAAGACTAGACAATAAGTTAAAAAGGTTCAGATCTCTTGATCAAAAGGGAGTCACATAGCAAAAGAATTTGTAAAGGTAAAAGAAGGGGGGATGAAGCTTGATATAAGGAAAGCTAGTGCCTGGAAAACATAGAGTTAAAGTACTTTTTAGCTTAACTTAGGCTGTAGAAAGAGAACAATGTTTATGTTGTAAATCTGTGGAATGTAGTGGCCCCACTAAACATGAGTTGTTTCACACTAGTCTTCTAAAGTAGTTTTAAAGAGCAATGTTTGTGTTGTAAGTCTGTGGTGAGATAACAGGATTTAGTGGCCCCACTAAACATGAATGAGTTATTTCACACCATCCTTCTACTTATCAGTTAGTTTAGAGACAGAGCCTCCCAAGCATCTGATAGCTTGGGATACTCCTTGTCTGCCCATCCTGCAATAAATTTTGCAGGAAGGTCACACTGGTTTAAATCTTTGCTAGTTATCAGAATAATTACATATATAGCTGGTTGTGTGATTACTGGGGGGTCCAACTGTGACAAAGGTGAAAAGTACACTGTGAGGAAGACTGCTTACTTCATCTTGAAAACCCCTACTCACAAGAGGAAGACTGTTTACTTCATCCTCAAGACCCCTGCCCACAATCATCGCAGAGCAGTACGCAGACGCCAAGAGGAGGAGACTTATGATAATAAATTCTTGAAGCTAGTTATAATATCCCCCGCCTATATGCGGGAATTATGAATATGTATGTAACTAATGTAATAGTGAAAGTATATAAACCCGTAACAAATACTAATCACTTGGCCTCTGGCTACAGTCATGCGCCCAGCGCTGTTGCTTTTGCTTTATTGACTTTGTCCCTCAATAAAACCTTGTTATCTCTTTTAGAGGAGTGAGTTCGTATGTCACAACACCTGAGTGGGGGGAAGCTCAGCGTGCAGGAGCCTCAATTCAGAGCGGGAAGAGGCACCAAGGGAGCCTCAAGTCCTCGACAAGACTTGCCTAGTAGCTGGCAGCTCAGCTGACGCGAGCAGCTGACTCACAGGGGGCGGTGCCAGGAGGGACGGCACCAGCCCTGACTGGGTAAAAACTCGCCCCAGGGAGCACAAGCTACCAGGAGTGTGGCGCGGCAGTTCGTGCGGGTAGGTGAGTGGGATGATGAGCGCTTGCCTCATGACCAGGGACCGATCTGGGAGCTCTACTCCGACTGTCTCGGCAGTAGCCAGCGTAGGCACCCAGAGAGCCGATGAGAGGGGAGGCTGCAGTGCAGAGCTCAGAGTGGAGAGAGTGCCTGCACTGGTCTCTTGAGGCGAGGGTGTACAATGGGCAGAGTTGCACTCGGTGCTCCCTGGTGGAGGTCCTCCTGCAGCAGGTGGCTGAGCTGCAGGATGCTGTCAATAGGGTAAAAGATGTCGGAAGCTGAGAGGAAGCAGGACTGCTTGCTCCAGGCCCAAACTGTGCAGGCGCCTCAAGCGTCCATCATAGCTCATGGAGAAAAGAAGGAGGCTGTTAACCCAGGAAACTGGGAAATAGTAACAAAAAAAAACAACCAAACAAACAAAAAAAACAAAACAAAAAAAGGAGGAAGAGGACAATTAAAAGCAAGGGGCTTCCTCCTGAATCTGATGTCCCCACCCAGAACTACTTTGCAGTTCTGCAGGGGGCTAATGAGGAAACACAACATGAACAACTGACTGATGTACTGGTAAAAAAGATCACTATTGGTGCTGCCAGGAAAAAGCGGCAGGTCATAGTGGTAGGGGACTCTACACTGAAAGGCACAGAGGCACTCATCTGTTGGCCTGACCCAGTCTCAAGGGAGATGTGTTGCCTACCAGGGGCTCGGATGAGGGATGTAGCAGAGAGGCTGCCTGCTCTACTAAGTCCCACTGACTATTACCCACTTATAGTTGTCCATGGGGGTGCTAATGATACAGACAGCAGTATCTCAGAGAACATTAAGAAGGACTACAGAGCCCTGGGAGAAGTGGTTAGGGGCTCTGGAGCTCAGATAGTCTTTTCATCAGTTATCCAGGATAAAGGGGAGGACCTTAAAAAGCTAGGTGGATTTGGCAGATTAATAAATAGTTAGACCAGTGGTGCCATAGTCAGGGGTTTGGGTATTTAGAACATGGGACTTGATTTGGGAGGGCAGGTCTACTGGAGGCTGATGGAGCTGGTGTCAAAGTGGAAGAGCAGTTTTGGTAGGAGGCTTGCCAGGCTGGTCAAGAAAGCTTTAAACTAGATGTGTTGGGGGAGGGGGGCATCATTCCATCCCAGCACTCCCAGTCAGTTGCCAGCACCTATAATAATGCTCGGATCAATGTAGAGATATTCCAGCCACTCCAGCCAATGATCTGGCTTCATTTGGAGCTCTGCTCAGATACCTCTAAACAAACACCCGTAGTATGGGGCACAAACAAGAGGAACTAAAGATGTTTGCAAATCTACGGGGATATGATATAATAGGCATCGCAGAAACATGGTGGGATGGCTCCTATGACTGGAGTGTTGGAATGGAAGGTTACAGGCTCTTTAGAAAAGACTGGGAAGACTGGCAGAAGGGGAGGGGAAGTTGCTATTTATGTTAGTGATAGGCTGGAGCGTATGGAACTCTGTCTGGAGACAGGTGAGCAGTCAACTGAGAGTTTGTGGCTCAGGGTCAGAGGGAGAACAGCGATGGGAGACATTACTGTGGGGATCTGTTACAGACTGCCTGATCAAGAGGACTCTGTGGATGAAGTACTCTATAGACAGATAGGAAAAGCCTCACACTCACAGGCCCTTGTCTTCATGGGGGACTTCAACCATCCTGATATCTGTTGGAGGGACGGTACAGCCCGGCACAAGCAATCCAGGAGGTTCCTCGATTGTGTGGAAGACGACTTCCTTCTGCAAGTAATAGAGGAGCTGACAAAGAGAGTCGCCATACTTGACCTCATGCTCACCAACAGGGAAGGGCTCGTTGGAAATGTGACGCTCCAGGCTGGCCTTGGTTGTAGCGATAATGAGAATGTCGAGGTTGAGATCCTCAGGACAGTGAGAAGAGCATGCAGCAAGCTCACTGCCCTGGACTTCAAGAGAGCAGACTTTGGCCTCTTCAGGAACCTGCTTAGGAAGGTTCCATGGGATATAGCCCTAGAGGGCAGGGGGACCCAAGACTGTTGGTTCATGTTCAAGGATCACCTGCTACAAGCTCAGGAGTGTTGTGACCTGACTAGAAGGAAGTGCAGCAGGAGGGCCAGGAGACCTCCTTGGGTGGATAAGGAGCTGCTGAGGAAACTTTGAGGGAAAAAAGAGGCTTATAAAAGGTGGAAGGAAGGAGCTGGCAAATGAAGTTGCTAAGCCACTGTCCATCATATTTGAAAAATCATGGCAGTCAGGTGAAGTTCCCAATGACTGGAAAAAGGGAAGTGTAACCCCCATTTTCAAGAAGGGGAAAATGGATGACCCAGGGAATTACAGACCAGTCAGTCTCACCTCCATGCGTAGCAAAATCTTGGAGCAGATTCTCCTGGAAGGCATGCTAAGGCACGTGAAAAACAACAAGGTGCTTGGGGACAGCCAGCATGGCTTCACTAAGGGGAAATCCTGCCTGACCAATTTGGTGGCCTTCTATGATGGAGCTACGGACCTGATGGGCAGGGGTAGAGCAGTTGACATCATCTACCTGGACTTGTGCAAAGCATTCGTCACTGTCCCACATGACATCCTTGTCTCTAAATTGGAGAGACATCAATTTGATGGATGGCCCACTCGGTGGATAAAGAACTGGCTGGATGGCCGCACACAGAGAGTTGTGGTCAATGGCTCAATGTCTGGCTGGAGACCAGTAACGAGTGGTGTCCCTTAGGGATCGGTGTTGGGACCGGTCTTGTTTAACGTCTTCGTCGCTGACATGGACAGTGGGATTGAGCGCACCCTCAGCAAGTTTGCCGATGACACCAAGCTGTGTGATTCAGTTGATATGCTGGAGGGAAGGAATGCCATCCAGAGGGACCTTGACACGTTTGTAAGGTGGGCTGATGCCAACCTTATAAAGTTTAACCATGCCAAGTGCATGGTCTGATTCAGGGAAAACTCCAGGAACAAACTTGCCAACAAAGTTTTCAAGCTGACAAGCAGGTATTCTTTATTGCGGTGCTGGGAGACACGGGGGATAGCTCCTCCTAACGTGTTTCCTCCTATTGCTACACAAGCCATCCTTACATAGTCCCTGGGCATACATACATATTCATGAGGCTACGTATGGATTACATCATTTTCCAGAAAGTTCCCCGCATGCGTACAGAATTGTGGTGGTGGTCTCTGAGGGTCGTTTGCTTCTTCCAACAATCTTCATCACTTCTGGCAACCTTTGAATCACGCGCAGTAGATGCTTATACCAGCTTAATTGGTTCGTTAGCACCAGAGCCATAATAATCCTCCTGTCCTCCTACTTATAAGTTGGTTTATCTGTAGCCCATCCTGGACACCTGCCATTCCCAGATACTCCTTATCCCTGTGTCCTGTTCTTCTAGACTATTTTTCTTAAAACTATGTCAACTATAACGATTTATCTTGTCCAAGAATTCTCAGTATGTTCTCTAGCTGTACTCTACTTTTTTTCTGTGTATCATGCACCTCGGTAATTTTGCATTGCTACTGTTACAAAGCTATCAAACTTAACATTACTTAAAACTGATTTTAAAGGCTTATATATTCCAATTTTTAATTTTGTGGCCCCCCCTTGTCTCAGGTCCTACACCTGGGTCGGGGCAATCCCAGGCACAGCTACAGGTTGGGCAGAGAAGAGATTTTGAGCAGCCCTGAGGAGAAGGACTTGGGGGTTTTGGTCAATGAGAAAATGAACATGAGCTGGCATTGTGCACTCACAGCCCAGAAAGCCAACTGTACCCTGGGCTGCATCTAAAGGAGCATGACCAGCAGGTTGAAGGAGGTGATCCTGCCCCTGTACTGTTCTCATGAAACTACACTTGGAGTACTGTGTCCAGTTCTGGTATCCCCAACATAAGAAGGATGTGTAGCTTTTGGAGAAAGTCCAGAGGAGGGCCACGAGGATGATGGGGGGCTGGAGCACTTCCCGTATGAAGATAGGCTGAGAAAGTTGGGGCTGTTCAGCCTGGAGAATGCTGCCTGGAGACCTCATAGCAGCCTTCCAGTATCTGAAGGGGGCATATAAAGATGCTGGGGATGGACTCTTCATCAGGGACTGCAGTGACAGGACAAGGGGTAATGGGTTCAAACTTAAACAGGGGAGATTTAGATTAGACATTAGGCAGAATTTCTTCTGTGTGAGGATAGTGAGGCCCTGTCACAGGTTAACTAGAGAAGCTGTTGCTGCCCTTTCCCTGGCAGTGTTCCAGGCCAGGTTGGCTTGGAGCAACCCTGTGTCCCTGCCCATGGCAGGGGGTTGGAACTATATTCGTTTTAAGGTCCATTTCAACCCAAACCATTCTATGTTCGTGTGCGTGCACTCGGGGGCAGAGGGGGCGTGTCGTAGGACTGAGGGGGCGTAGCACAGCACAGCCGTTGCCGGTAGGAGGCTCTGTCGCGCACAGCCGCAGTCGTGGGTTTTTCCGTGGGTTCCGTTCCGTCGGGCCTGACCGCGCTAGAAGTGGCCACAGCGGGCGATGAGATGACAACGTCCACCCTGCAGGTACTGGCGGGGGTGTGCCGGAGCATGGATATGGCTTGCTCCTGTCTTGGCGCGGGGCCTCCGCCCGTCTCGGTGGGGAGGCCTTCTCGGCCCCGGTGCAGGGCCGGGCCCCGCTGGGGCGTCCTCATTGTGCCCGTGCCCCTCCGCGGCTGTGGGGAGAGAGGGAAGGAGGGCCTTGTCCGGCCGTGCGCTGCGGAAGGGGTCCCACTAGCCGCCCCGCTGTGAACAGTCCTGGCCCGGCCCTGGCCCCCTCGGGTGT